TGGATACATTACCCGGCTTATTTGTGTGCCCCGATGGGGACTATATGAATCTGTGGCACTTTATATTTTCATTATTGTCATTAAAAGTAATATTTTCATTATCGCCTGTTCAATAGTGACTCAGGACATAGGAAATATATTTATTTCCATCACATATCCAACTTAAGTTTAAAGAGGCAAATTATTTTCTTCAGATGAGTGGTCAGAAGAATGACAGGTACTCGTGACAAGATAAATAATAGTAATAATAATAATCCTTGCATTTGATATATCACATCTTCAAGGTGTCTCAAAGCGCCTCACAGAATATACTGTAAAGTGAATTGACTGTTTATTTTGTGGGCGAAATGCGACAGCCAATTGCGCACAGCAGTTGAATCCGATACATACAGAAATAAATCAGTAAGGATTACATGTGCAAGTAAATCCGGCTTGTTTAATTCTGTGTATTGGAATGGAATATACAGTGTGCAAACTATTCCCAGTTTCAGTATAGCTATACTGCATTCTGTCATTGGCTGGAATCCCAATCTTAAAGCAGTCAAATCATCGTGGTTTGCTTCCAAACTGGTCAAGTCCGGAACGAACAGAACTAACACAATGCATGAGTTTCTGCCTGATTTGCTCAGCATCCGGATGCAGTATAACTAAATCCGTTTGGGTTCTGGTTGTGCACCCCAGAGTGCATGATGCAGCGATGTTGGGCAATGCATTCTGGCGTAATCTACTTCCAGTATTTGTAAGATTTCTCAGGAGGATAACATGCTCTCCTGAACTTTTGAAATCTGCTTTTATCGGTTCACAACCACAAGCAGAGCAAATCCAGCAAAAACAATCCTAGTCTCAAAATAACTGGAATAGTAATCAACAAAGAGTACTGAATATCTATTTGGTGGGAGAAAAAGACTGGGAGATTTGGGGAGAATTCAGATAGGATTTAACAGTAAAAATATTATTGCATACATACAGTTACATTCATGGATTAGTTGCAGTGAAATTAGGAAACTTAAACTATTTAAAATCAATAATAGTTTCAACTTGGAGATGATTTAATAGTGCCCATCAAGACTTCTTTCAAAAATGATAGCTGCTATGAGTCATGAACGAATGTATTATTTTCATCCAGTTACCATGAAAATAAGATCTTTGTTATTCTAAATCAAGACTTTAACGGTGATCTGGAGATGTACAGGATGTTTTTAGCGCTTTGAAAAGATTGTCCAGCTGAAAGATTATGATTCAATTTGTTTCACTCCTGAGGGGAGATCTGTTAACTTCCAGATTCTGTGCAAGACTGTGCAACTAACTGTAAGCAACCGCAAGAGGATATCGATAAACTAGTAGACAGGGAAAAGAGATAGCAGATGAAATATACTTTAGAAAAGTTGTGATCTACTAGGATAGTGCCAGGGATGAGTTGTTTGACCTACTAGTAGAGACTAGAGAAACTGAGCCTACTTTCATTGGAACTGAGAAGGTTGAGGGGAAACATGATGGAGATCTTCAGAATTATGCAGAAGAAAGTATTTCCACTGATCAGTGAGTCAGTGATTAGAAGGCATCAATTTAAAATAATTAGCAAGAGAGCAAAGGAGGAAACTAGGAGGATTTTTTTTAATGCAGAGAATTGTTAGGCTTTAGAACCTGGTGCAATAGTTAAGGCATAATTCAGATTCATTTTTGGGAGGGAACTAAATCAATATCTAAAAAAGGAATAATGTGTTGGGGTATGGGTAAAAGGCAGGTAAATGTGATGGAATGGATTGCTCTTTCAAAGAGCCAGCACAGACATGACAGGCCGAATGGTCTTGTTTTATGCTGTAAATGGTTCTATGATTATTTCTCCCTAGAAATAAAAAAAATCCTTAAAATGATCTCTTTGTACGTACTTTCAGCAATGTTGAAGGATATCATGTACCATCAATATGCATTATAAAATTATAAACATGCTGCCTATCTGCGTAGAAATCAGTTGTCAAGAAATTATATTGTTTAGTGAAATGGTGAAACTGTTGGTGAACTGATTTTACTGAATATCAAGCTGAATGTGCCATTTCATTCAATGAAATTGAATAATTATTCTGTTACAATGAAATTACTATCCATTATAATGAAAATATAAGTATTATTTAGACTGTTAAAGATAATGGAATGCGTTTTAAAGATCAATGGAAACAAGTGCCTCCAGCTATAAAGAATTTAATCTCTGCATGCAGACTGACTTTTATTAACACTTCTTTAAAGATCTCCGTCCAATTCACTTACCGCAAAGGGCCAGCTGTGCATATTGCATTACATGTCGATGCTGGGTGAACAATTTCTCCATGTATACTCATGCATGGATAATGCATAAATACATAGAAGGAGTATATGTTACCAGCACACAGCCAACCCCAATCATTGAACACACACAGTTTAGGACAGGGACAATCCACACCAAAAGGTTTTACAACAGAGTTGGGAACTAGATTTGTTTTATTTGTACAAAAATAAGCTACTTTCTATATTAAATTATTCTCAAATGAAATAGGGTTAGATATGAATTCATTTGTTAGAGGAGGGGCACTTATCTATTGCAATAATTTGTAAGACACATTAGGCCAGAATGGGTACCCATTCAGCTGTGTGAAGTGTTTTGAGATGTCCTCCTGATATAAAAGGCGCTGTACACATATAAATCGTTGTTGCTATTTCTGCACAGAGGCACATACCGGGTTGGTGTGTCCCCATTTGTGTCTCTAAAAATATAAACAATCGTTTTGAGCAGTACATAGTCAGGTTAAGGTCAGGACTACAATCCAATCAATAAAACTTGGTCTTTACATTTGAGATGGTTTGAATAACTCAACAGCGATAACGCATTAATTCTAAATTACTGTATAGTACTGTAACTAAACTGTGAATGTCCTGCTGTCTTCAGTTCATGTCATTGTTAATAAGCAATGCTCAATCAGCTTATTTGGAGAAATAAAGCCTCTTTGGGTCTGGGAAGCACTGTTCATCGTTAATGGAGGGGTAGTGTGTAAAAATATTGCCTCGGTGGTTAGTTAACAATTGGACAGAGATTTGTGGCTTGACTTTTTTTTCATTTTACAAAAAAATATACATTCAAGATACCATTTTGTAGATTCTTAGTAAACCCTTAAAAAGATAGATGCATGTGTAGCATGAACTGAGTGGGGACCGTCAATTGGAACTAGTCAAGTGGAACTAATCTCAGACTTTGCATAGCTAGCGCAGAAATTATTAAAGAGCTTTGAGATGTCTTCCCGATGTGAAAGGCACTATATAAATGTAAATTGTTGTAAAGTACATTAGATTTCTATCAGGTCAGAAAGGAATTGCCACATTTTGGGAGGATTCAATTAACAGGAAACGATGGTATTATACTGGTAACCATGTGCTATGGTAACATGACGGATGGGTTAGCTACTCCAGTGAAGATTAGGAGTGCACATTCCAAGCAATGATCAATTTGAGAAACGGAAGAGACACAGAGATAAATTGTCTCACCAAAGAGTGCGTACCCCTGATTGAAGTATCCATTTACAGTAAAATCCTTTGTTTAATCTGTTCATCACAGTGACTCTCTCAGTATAAAGTTTTTATATTCTCCTGGTATAAAGCTGTTGCACACTGTATCGCGGCTCTCCCTGTATAAAGTTTCTGTTTCTTGTGACTTTCCTAGTATAAAGTTTCAGATTACAGTCTATTGCTTGGGTTTGAAGTAAGTATACTGCCTGAGCTTTACTTCACATTCCCCAGATCCACAGAATGTAATGACATTTCCAGACAAGTGCCTAAGAACAGGGGAACCCTGCTAGAGCAGTGAGACAGCTTGAAGAGCTTACCGATTCCAATTCACTGGCACTTCTGCTGAATTGCCTCCTAAAGGCCATGTTGCTTTCTCCCACATAAATCTGTACAAACAGATTAGTATGCACCTGTGAGGAGCGTTTATGAGTTCACTCAGCTTGAGGGAAATTGAATTTGTAGGAAGGATACAATTATATAACACTGTCTCTTCAGCTTCAGTTGAAGCTAAGCTTTTGTGCTGAGTATCTAATTTGAAACTGCTATTCAGCACTTCAATTTAATCTTCTGGCACCTCAGTTACTTTAAAATTAAGAAAGCACGTATTCACCAGTGAACCATTTGCATAAATAATGGTTTGATTTTGACGCAGTGAAGTGGACGTGGCATTATTAAACCTGACTGAAACTGGTCTTCAAATTAGGAGAAAGAGAAATGTTTTACTTGCAATGATTAAAGCCGTTTTACCCCAAATATTAGAATCTTACAAAACTCCCCATTTTTTTTATGTAGGAAGGAAATAACCTACTGTCTAAAACTGTTAGGTTCCAGTGTGATATGTTATAAATATATCCCATGTTCACAATGAGCATCAATTATAGAAAAGCCCAGGTCATGTAGTTTCTCTGAAGACCTAATCCCAGACCTCAAAGCCGGGCTGAGAGCAGAGGTCAGTGCTGTGAGTATACAAGCTGCATCTTCCTGAAAGTGACCTTTGCTGTGAAACTTGAATATCTTCACAGCATGTGGGACTAGAGTAAGCTTCTGTCTATAGGTGGGAGGATGAAAGCTAGTGGATAGTGCAGTTTAAAAAATACCAAACTAATCTGCTTTTGTAAAGCAAGGCTTTACAATGTTGCCTGAGATATGTTGCTAAACAATATTTTTTTTAACATGTGGTAGTTGGTCATGCCAGACAGGAATCAATAGTATTCCCATCATCAGCTGCACGAAAGGAAATTGGCAAACGCCAATTTGCTTGTGATTTACTAGTGCATTTCTTATTTACTGTTTTACTTGTACGGTCCGAAGTATACCTACAATGCAAAACCAAACATTGTGGTGGCTTATAAGATGTTTGCACAGAAATGCCAAGAAGGTATGAAAAATTGTTGCAGTCAGATATGAAGAGGTCGGTGTATGTTATCATAATACAGATCAATAATTTAACTCTGTTCCAACTCTAGCAACTCATTCAGATGAGGCATCAGATATTGACTCGGAGCCAGACTTGCCTCTAAAACGGAAACAGCGTCGAAGTCGAACAACCTTCACTGCAGAACAGCTAGAGGAACTGGAGAGAGCATTTGAGAGAACTCACTATCCAGATATCTACACTCGTGAGGAACTTGCACAGAGAGCCAAGCTGACAGAGGCGCGAGTACAGGTAAAACCAGCTTGTTCCCTGAGATCTGTGCAATTATTTAATTCTATGCTAAACATTCTAAATCATACGAATCAGGTGGAGCTGTAAGCAACAACTTCACAAACGGTGCTTTCGTTGAAGTGAAGATTTTCACTTGAAAACCTCTAGTGGATTTAGCCAGTTTGAATTTTTTGATGCCATGACTCAATGAAAATATCCATGCAATTGCAGAAAGATCTAAAAAGAAATCCATCATCGCATAATTACGTGCATGATCCCTGTCCTATTCTGAATACTCTGCTTGATGCATTGCCCTTTCATGCACTGAGATTCTTGGGGAAATAACTTTTGTTGTAGTGCACTCTTAGTTATAAATGCAGGTTCTGATGCTCTCAATGAAGACATACTAGCCTGAAGCATCCATTTTGGTCGAGGGAATTTATTACAGAGCCAATGATTTGAACCTTTTAATAACTGATACAAATATTCGACACCTAAAACATGAAATGGTTATCCTTGCCTAAAGGGATTTTTTTGTTGTTGATATTTTTGCATTATTTTTAAGAAGGTTTTTCTCATGTCAGCTACCATATGGTAACAGATAGTACTCTTTCAAGAGGGCATTAAAGATTCAAGGTGGTTGTGAGTAGAAAAATAATGATGATTCTGGGATTTACACATCACAAGTCACAGAGCCAAATGTGTCCTTATTATAAAAAAAGATTGAGAGGGAACATGATTCAGACTTTAGAATAAGATGTAGGTACAATTTAGATGTAAGCAGGCAATTTAATGCCAGACAACAACACATTACATTTATATAGCGCCTTTCACGCCAGGAGCTGTGAGATTTAGGGAGCATAGCTTCAAAATCTGTAGTACTTGACTTTAGAAGAATTCAATAATTTATCTGCTCGAGAATTGCATGTATGCTGCGGTCCACATAATTTAATTGAGGTACATGTGTACATGTGTACTCTGTACTGCTGGAAATGATGCCTAGATTGGAGATTAGTGTCTGGAGGTGGTAGGTGTGGATCTGAAGGGAAGAATGGCCTTTTCCTCTTCTTTTTCTTCCATGCTTTAGGCTCTTCAAGGCCAGTCATCACGATGAAATCCAGTTTCCCTGTCTATTATACAGCAACACTGCATAATACATTTGCCGATCTCCGAAAAGCCCAATAACTCCACATGTAGTCTAAATGTTCAGTTTAAATAATTGTTCCGAATGAAGTACGAGCGCTAACACTTTCTAAGTCTTTGCCCCTCAGTGCATGCAGAAGCAACATTAATGCAGCAGCTGCCACAGTGTAGCTTTAACCCTATGACTTCTCTGCATTCCTCACAGCTTCATCTGGTCTCAGGAGGCCGATCATCTCTTATGAGGCTTGCTGTGATCTAGTGCCCTACTAAATTCCCCAGAACAACTAACATATGGATCCTTTACTAAACCCAGCATGAGTGACAGATTTAAATCAATCAGTGACTTCTTCAGGAGAGCTCAGTGTTGGGAATTTAACTTTTCTCAGACAGTATGAATACTGATTCCGCTGACTTTTATTGAGGAATTTTTCCCAAAAAATATTTTTACACAACAGCTGTCCCACCATTTTAAATCTGGAATGTGTTCCCGAAACATCTGTACTACAATTTAGTCCCGTTACTGCTGAAGGTATCAGATGATCGAATCGTACACCAATTATTATAAATGTTGAAATAAATTTTAAAAAGGCTTGCGTCTTCTCAAAGGAAAAATCCCAGCGTGTAGCCAAGGAAGAAAAGACTGAACTTCAGACTGATTCACCGACATTTTGCATTCAGACTTGGGCACCTGCACGTAAAATAACAGAGTTCTGGAGTTGTTCTGAATTACTGAAGGTTTTTCCCTGCTCCTTTGAAATTCCAGTATCCTAGTGAGTTGGGTGTTTTGTCGGAATCATCAACTGAGCATGCTCTATTGAATAAGCCAAAAGGTCACCGGTTTCACTGACAGCTCAGACTGAGAGTGAGAATTGAAAAGTTGTAGAGAGTAGTAGCGAGGAATACACTTAGCAGAAACCATTTGGAAGCTGCTAACAGTAGGATACTGGAGCGGAATGCAACTCGTTGTGTCATTCTATGTTTATCACTCATTCCAGCAGCCTGCTGCCAGGCTAATAAACAACAGCTTAATGAGATGAGCATTTACTGGCAACACAACAGGCATATATTTATGTCAATCTGACAACAAGAGGGTTATCATGTCTGCTTTGGATAATATCAAATACAGCCTCAAACAAATAGCAATCTAAATGTTATTTATTTATCTTTTATTATTATTATGGGGCAAAATATGCGAGATGTGATGATGTTGATGATAATTTCGACATCGCATATTGCATAATTCCCCTCTATTTTTTCACATCTGTTTACATTGAATTGCTAGGCCATCGTTACTTGTGGGCAAATCGTACTTCACCTTAGCTTCACCTTTGTTTATTGGCATGTGGCTAGTCATGGTTTATTTAGCTCTATTGACCATTGAATTGTTTTGCCCTTTATGTGATCCTTTTTTAATTTGTTAGGTCTGGTTCAGTAACCGTCGAGCTCGGTGGAGGAAACAAGCAGGAGCTAACCAGTTATTGGCGTTTAATCACCTAATCCCTGGAGGATTTCCACCCACAGCAATGCCAGCACTGTCTCCGTACCAGCTCTCTGATGCCAGTTATCCACCCACATCCATACCACAAGGTAAACAAATATCTGATCCCAGACTGAATCTGCCCTGAAATTAATCAGACCAGGTTCTGCCAATCTAAGTCACTGAATAAAATCTGAATTTGCATTATATGCTTTTTAATTTACGATTTACAAGTGAATCAAATATTGGAAGGATAAATTAACTCTTCCGCTGTGAAAAGCAGCCAGAAAGGAATTGCTGAAAATGAAAGCTATTAAATCCATGCATGAGGTGTTTGCAAGGTTCCACCAACCTTGTCCTGAAATGTTATGCTTTCATTCTGTTGGTCTCAGTTGTTCTTGTTATACTTTGTAAGACGTTTTGCTCTCTATTACTGGCTCATTACTTGCTTCTTTAGGCAAGTATTCAGTAGATTTCATTTTTAAACCTATTGTCTTAGATTCCTTGCCTTTGCCAGACTCCCTGATCTCTGAATTACCACATAAACATGATGGTTTTAGTCACATCGTTCACACAATCACAAATTGATATTGAAGTGAAAAATGGGCACTTCGATCTTTAACCCCCATACTCCGCTTGCAATAACTATGAGGGCAGTCCATTGATCTATTCAATCAAATTATAAATAATTCTTTACATTTTAAAAGAATGCCCCAACCCCCATACTGTGCTGTTTATCCTGTGGTAATGGTGGAATCCAATAATACATCATGCAGGACATTGTCAAGGCCTCATCGGTCAAGCACAACCGAGGCTACCTTTCAGGAAATGCATTTTCAAATGTGATTTGATTGAATGCATGATAATAGTTAGAGACTTCTCAGCAAACCCATGATTCTAAGTAGCATGGAGTTGTGTTTTAAAGGGATACTGGCTTCAGCTCAAAGAGATGCTTGACAAACAATATCGCTTTGAATGAGGAAAAGAGCTAAAAAAAAATGTGCCCCTCCTCATGATAGCGTCACGTGTTGTGACACAATGATAAATGATGTTTTGATGCATTTTTGTCATTGGGTCCTTAAGTTCTCTGGTTGTAAACAAATGCAAAAAAAAGGTTTGCCCCAGTACTTTATTTCTCACAAAGAAAATGCTCCTTTAAGCTGTAAAAAGCATTTTGAGCATTGAGAGAAGAAGGTGGAAAAAAAAACATTTTGAATGTGAACAGATACATCATCTTATTATTTTTGGAACTGGCTCAACAGTTTCCAAAGAAGAGAAAGTGATGCAGCATTAATGATACAATAAATGTTATTGTGCTTTCAGCAATCTCAGATCCGAGCAACACGGTTCACAGGCCACAGCCTCTGCCTCCAACGTCAGTTCACCAGAGCAGCCTCCCCTCCACCCCAGACAGCAGCTCAGCTTATTGCTTATCCTCCAGCAGGCATGGATTTTCAGGGTACACAGACAGCTTTGTGTCTCCTGCCGGCCCCACCAATCCCATGAACCCAACTGTTAGCAACGGCCTCTCACCTCAGGTCAGTTCTGTGATTCAAAACAGAGTGTCTAGTGTATACGTGAAGCAAATAGTTTACTACCCAAGGCAGAATTAAAGAAGCGTTTCCAAATTGAAATCATTGCACAAATCTGTCTGTGCAGCTCATGTGACTGTTCTGGTTTATAGACTTTCTTGTCCTCGCCAGTTTTTCCACTGTGACTTTCCAGATATTGAATTTTTCTGATACGCAGGTTGGTAAAGTGCCTCTAAAAAACACTGGATAAAAAGTGATGTACAGCTAATTAAGAAGTAAGCAAAACATTTATAAAGAGGCGATTGAAAGACGACTAAAAACTAAAAGAAAAACAAAATAATAATAATTTGGGCATTCAATCCACGACTGTTTGTGGGATATTGCTGTGCGCAATTGGCTGCCGCGAAATGTACAGTCAATTCACTTTACAGTATATTCTGTGACATACTTTGAGATGTCACAAAGCCGCTATACCAAATCAAATAATAATAAGATATAGATTTCAGCTGTGGAATTAAATGTAGATTTTTAAATATATATTTATATTTCAAGTGCATACAGCATTCAAATGAAAGGCTAATGCTCTACTCTAGTCATAGATGTATTGCACCATGTTATGTTTGTAGTTTATAGGTGATAGTAATAATGACACGTTTCGGTTCATTGGAAAAGCTCACATCCTTTCAGCTGTTTCACTCATACTTTCATTTTGGCGTCTGCCAGTTCCTCCACTGAGGTTTTGACGAGTGGTCTTTTTACCATTTTATCAATGCATTTTCAGGCTTGTGCAGTGTGTTGCTGCCTGTTTTTAAGCTACAAATCAACAATGCTTTGTAACTTCATAGGCTGAGGGGAGAATTCAATAGGAGAAAGCTAGTGACTGAACATGGTATCACCCACAATGAATTGAATGGAACATTGCAGAAAATCACCTTGGAGTGATTCCAAGTGAGAGTTTGTTTAAAAAATGGATCAGTAAATCAATATTTGCTTTTGTTTAAAGTCCTCATGAAAAATAATATAGTTAATAGGAATATAGAATAAACTGACAAAATAGAAACTTGCACTTATATATAAATATGTAATATATACCGTATATTTTTATATATATTATATATACGTATCCTTCAATATTTCACGCAAATTCTAAATCTTTGAATATCATATTCAGCCTGGCTCATATGTCAGCCTGGTTCAGTTAGTAACACTCTTACATCTGGGTCAAAAGGTTATGGGTTCAAGCCCCATGTCGGGACTTTGAGCTCATAGTCCAGGTTGACATCCCAATGCAGTCCTATGGATTGCTGCATTGTTGGAGGTGCAGTCCTTAGGGTGAAACATTAGACTGATGTCTTGTTCGTGTGATGTTGAAGATCCCGTGACACTATTCGAAAAGAGAAGGAAATTTCTCTCCGTGTCCTGGTCACCAATCAACCAAATAAAAGAAAAGTAGTCATTTACTTCATGGCTGTTTGTGCTTCATTGCTGTGTGCAAATTGGCTTCTGCGCACCTACAAATATACAGTAATTACACTTTTTAGATAGACGCTGAAGCGCTATATTAAATGTGAGGATGCTAAAATTGCAGTTCTGAAGATCATGCAAAGCATTGCCGCAGGGTCAGCAAATTATCCTGCAAATAAATTATCCATTGGAGAAAGCTTAACATTTTTAAAGAGTTCTTTCAGCTTTTGGAGATTGATGTTAGTTTGTTGAATTAAAATACATTGTGCAAAACATTAGCATAACCTGGACACAGGTGTACACCAACTAATTTTTTAAGATTTGTCACACGGGATCTATAATTAAAAGAGACACAGAGTTAAAGGTGTGATTTTCTTGAAAAGCTTTTCCATAAGTTTGAAGAACATACGGAAGCACGGATTGACACAAATGAAAAGTGAAAAGAAAATTACAGTCAATTACACACCAATCATTGGCCACTGCTCCTGCCGGAACAGTAAGGGGTATTCTAATAGGCAGAAAATGAGATTCTAATGGCACAAAGGGTGGCCAAAATGACTGCTTGCATCTGTGGCTTTTTACTACTTATTTAATGTGCAGTTTGCATCAGCATGGTGTTGTTTCTGGTTTCTGCACGGCACTGATAACTCACAGACCTCGAAAGTTAACAGTGTTGTAAAAACTATAAAGACCGATGAAACTAATTGCCCCTTCAGGGAGATAGGAACCTTCCTAGTTTCTGTCATATTAAGCACACAATTAATTGATGTCTTTTTTTTTCTTATCCACAAGAAATTGATTAAGAGTGTAACAGTATCAAACACATTGCTTTTAAAACTAAATTAGAAAATCCGAGTGATCCATGTTAAACCTGAAATGCTCCTCACACTACCCACTTAATCAGTACATTGCGTTTGCACTTATACATATCAGACTCTTTGCATTGCAATAAATATTGGAATAGAAGTGGTTTGTTACTGGGGTTCCCTGAGTTACTATATGAAGACGCTCCTCACCAGTAAAAGGATGATAGTGGTTCACTGTTTTGGATGGAATATTCTGTCTGATGTGTGCAGTCACTACTGTGGCCTGTGCTCAAAAGAACATTTGATGAATTTCAGTTACATTGTGACAAAATTCATTTGTGATTTATAAAATTAACTACGCAATTACATAAATTATTGAATCCATATGTCTAAATTACACTTCCAGACCATACACTGCACACGTCATTTGGCACTTTACAAGGTGTGTGGCACAAGGTAGATACAATGCTCTGTATTACCACAGTCGACATACAGGAGACCCCACTATGAGAATAATAATAATCCTTGCATTTGATATAGCGCCTTATCACATCTCCGAGACGTCTCAAGGTATTTCACAGAATATACTGGAACGTGAATTGACTATAACATGGTCCATTGGGTCCAATGCCTCAGAGGTTGTGTTCTAAGCGACACATCAACAAATTTCAGGTTGTCAGGTCACTGCTGATGTCGCTTCCTGTGCATTGCATTCCTATGCACTGATGTCATTTCCCTCGTAGATTGGATGATGCATCCATCTTAAGCTTTTTAGTAACTTGTTTTGATATGCCTGATTCGTAAGTTATTTTTCGCCACTGTGGACAAGTTGAGAATTGGAAGAGGGCAAATGGTCTCCCTTCAGCCCTCTGTAGCCCGGGCTTTGGCTCTAACACTGGTTTTCTGGGAATAATGACTTTCAGTCATTTCCAGTAATTCTCCTCCTTCTCTGCAGGAGAGAGTTTTACTACGTTTCGTGCTTCCAGGCCCTGCAAATATAAGCAACTCATTTTACGACCTTACCCAAAGTTTTACCAAAGTGGGATACAATACAGTGATGTACTCACACACTGGACCTCATTGAGCCACCAGATAGCAGTTTAGTTTTAAAACAGGAAGATCCTGTAAGTCACGATGTGCCTTTGCTCCTGATATTTTTTTAAAAGAAAACAATCTTCTGTCAATGACAGTGCTAGCTCCTTGATTGCCAATGAAATCACATCACTGTCAAACTGCTCCACTGTCACAACTACCACCAGGGAGATGGTAACTAGCACATTTCCAAACAAATATTATGCTACGACTCTTCAAACAAAAGTCTTGGTTGGAAGCGCGGAAGATAATAGCATAAGACAGGAAAATCCATTCAGTCCATTAGCCTGTCTCTAATTTAGCACAGAATTCTCCCCCATTGACTTGGAATGATGAGCATTATTGTAACTTTGGCCTTGATCACCACTGTTTCTTTCAAAACTCTCTTTACAGTGTGTTGATCCTGTTGTTTATAAATGCTACTGAACTTGCAGCCCAAACTGTAGTTCATTTCTATTCAGAGAAGTTAGTAAAGAATTCATTTGGACTTTTGAACATCTGTAAATGCCATCACACGGTGTCTCTTGAAATGTGACGGGTTGAAAGTCACTGCTGTCTGATCTGTTTTCATCATTATACTCAGACTTCTGGCTTTATGACCGTGGGTGTTGGAAGAAAGGAAGAAAGACTTTAATCAAGTTGTATGAATGTAGTACTGCTATAAATGCTACAGATATAGCTCATAAACTTTGCAACAGTGCTGTATTAAGGGCTCTTTCCTAAACTCTTAATTTAATTTCAATTCGAACTTTATATGTTACAGAAGTAATATAGTGAGTTTTTTTCTAAATTCCATGAAAGGCCATTGACACCATAACAACCCTAGATAGTAGCAATTTCTTTATACTCTTGAAGAATTACTTTATAAAGAAAAAACAGCACTGTAATAAAAACAATAAGAAGACTATTTCCCCTTTCGATAAAACTAGTTGACATTTTTAGTATTTTGGTGCAAACTACATTTCTCCAATAATTGCGATACAAGCAGAATCTGGTAAACACAATCTGCAGTACTATTTACATAACCCTTTGATCAAAATCCTCTGCTCTTATTAGGTAATCTATTAAAGTTCAACACATTTCATTTTTATTACGGTATGGATTAAATGTCCTCCACTGTTTTGAAACCATGAAGAATCTAAAATTTATGCTCCATTTGGCTGGGAACTAAGTGCCCTTTCACTTCTGAGCACTGATATTATAGGTAATAGGATCTAGCTCAACCCCATGTGATCCATACAGAATCATGGATACCTAGGAGTGAATTACAAAGCAGCAACAGCATCAAGGCATTCACAAACCACAAGAGCGAAGCTTAGTATCTTGCTCAAGTGTCCGTTCTTAATATGTAACCCTATGGGGCAGACAATGAATGTCAGCGGGTTATTTGTTTACAGAGGGCATTACAGCTAAGCCTGATCCTCTCCTCACCCAACATATACTTTCCAGGTACAGTACAGTAAAAACTCCTGCTGATTTTTTGCCCCTTTCCAGACCAGAGTTCTGTGACAAATTAGACAAACTCAATTCTGTTTCAATTAATTTAGCACAAACCAGAATTCATACTTGTTAACCATCTCCCCTTCTGGTCCAAAGGATCCAGATCATTGTTTTACAACACTTTTTTTTACAAAACTATGTTTA